ACTGCCGAATCTTTAAGGTTTTAAATTAGATAACTTGATTTCCACATATCGTCTGCTTTGTTCAAAAGCAACACCTGAAATTAGAAATGACAAAGTCGCGATTACATACGCAAGCCTCATTAAGAAAGTCGGTGTTCTACACGAATACAGAACTCGACCTAATATGTTAAGTGGATACAATGAAAAATGTGTCATATATATATATATATATATATATATATATATATATATATATATATATATATATATATATTGTAATAAAGAAATTAGCCCACTTTTGTTTTGTTAAGTGTCTCCTTGAAAATATGATAAGACAAAGCACTTGTTGCCAGGTAGAACAGTTAGATCATAAGACTGTACATAAAGCCGCCGAAGGCTTTACTATTACATCACAAATGTTAACTATCAGGAGAAAATGAATTCAATTTTAATGAGCCCTTTGTGTAGTTCTCTTTCATTAACTGGACCCATGGAAATCCCACCGTGTCTGTCAGATGCAATAATGTAAAAGGATACATAAACTGCAGATTTTGTATGATTAATAGACACTTTAATGAAACTTAAAAATCTGAAAAATACTGATAAAATTTCTAGATGAGAAACGATGGCCTATAGCAGGGGTCTATAGCATTCTACGTGGCACGCCAAGCAATTTCCAGTGGCACGCAGCCGCAAATGACATCACGAAGTCCGAACCAATAACTACTACAACACAAAGAAGATATTTAGCTGTTTCAATTTTAAAATATACTAAAGTATATATACTATATATTGCTATATAAAACATATTCTAGAACAGGTATATTGACCATGACTATTTTTAAGCATATCACCCCAGGCAAGGCGGGAGTGCCATTAGCACCCAAAGGGTTACAGAGAATGAGAGCAAAAGTAAAGAAGGGTGTTTGCGGAAAGGATAAAAAGAAGGACAGGGAACAAGATCAAGGCATCTGAATATTTGGAGATTAAAGCTATCAGGGAAGCAAATAAGAGGAAGGTAGTTTCACTGTCGGGAAGTGCAAGAAAAGAAGCTGTTGGAGTAGAAAAGTCGGCTACATTTAACCGTTTCGACAGTGAAAGGGTGGGACCGAGATGCCAACCTAGTAGCACGCTTAAATTCATAGAGTTACGTATGCTGTTGGCACACTAAATGATTTTAAAACCCTAAGTCAGCACATAGTTAGCAAAAGGTTACCGACCCCTGGCCTAGAGAATATAATACTCACAGGGTAGCTAGTCACCTACCTAATGATATTGCGTGAATGGATGATGAAGAAAGGCAAGGAAAGATTGTGAAGTGTTAAAATGGAATGGAAGTTAGGGAGACTCATGATCGTCTACATTCTGAAAAAAAACTACTAAATACATGTGGAACCTGATACCGAGTTTCTTTCCCTTGATAATTTTCTTGAGACGGTCCGATTTGTTGAAATGCTGTCACCTATGATCTGAGATATTTCTCTAACCTGTTAACTTGAGTTTTATTCGATTAGTGTTTGCTGTTGTTGATTGTCAATTGCATATGGACGTCCTCTATCACCTTGATATTCAAGACTCGTATCCCCACTGCGGAACTTCAGAAACCAACGCTGTATTGTCCGACGACACGTGGATCCTTCACCTCATGCTCTCTTAATCTTATCATTATGAACAAGCTTCAACTCATGCAAAAAAGAAAGCTCATCTCTTCTTTTTCATGTTTAAGATGAGGAGTATATAATGTTTAAATTCTGAAAAAAAGATTGGTATAAAATTAACAAAGAGGACACTTTAATCATTAAGGATGAGTAATATATTTTGTGAAATTAGTATAATAATGTATTAGAAAACAATTAAAAATTTTATTCTAAAATTGGACATTACTTTCCGAACGACCATTCATCGTAAAGCGAGTTACACTACTAAAAATTTTAAAGTATTTTTTTGACTATCTCAGACATTTTTATTACAGAAGACCGCACAGTCTAAAGCATCTGTCGTAGAAATGAAGAATAGTCGATCACACCTGGTCATGTGACTGAGGATGATGATGATGATGATGACAACGACGACGACCATGATGAATTCTTTGTATATTATCACGGATGCCAGTGTGATTAACACGCACTGTTGCATGTACTTTGTTTTTAATTTTTTTATTTGACTATAAAAAAGATATTTTTATTCTCCAGAGAAAAAATTATTATGACCTTTTCCCGATTCTAAAGCAAAAGATGTTTACACTTATGGTCTTCCTTAATGAAAATCTCCAATGGTTCAAAATACTTAAAATGTTATCTGCAGTGAAAGGTTACAAAATTCAAGAAACATTATGCTTAATCTGTTATGCATGAGGTTATTTATGAGAGAGTGAACAAGTGAACAAGTGAGAACGAAACAAAAAATAAAATTAAATAAATGTTATTTTTCTCATGAAATTAGGCGTGCCATTCAGAAAACCAACTGGACCCTCATGTGGCTTCGGGCTGCGGTCTACCCATGACTGCCATAACCCATTAAATGTTTTTTGCTGTACAGGATTTTGTAATAAAATGTATACACCTTTTGTTAATAGCAGGGGTGATTATTACTTGACAGTTAATCAGACACTTCAACAAAAATAAATGTTAAAATGAAGTTAAAGAAATGCATTTCGAATGTTTGCTAGATTCGAAATCTTATTTCTTTTTACGAACCTTTTGGGTCAGAAAAAAGAGACTTATAAAACTTGAAAGTAATTAAATGTGAAGGTTTTTTTGGTCCATCCATTTTCGTTTTACTCTGACACATTAATCACACGACTATAAAAGATAAAATGTCTTTATTGATTTTAAAAATATAAAAGAGGTCTGTCCGTAAATGGTCTAGCAATGTGGTGTGGTGTGGTGTGGTTTGGTTTGGTTTGGTTTGGTTTGGTTTCATTTACGGCATATCAACTTCAGTGGGTCATTTAATGTCGGCATCTTTTTTTTTTCTGGTAATATTTTTGTTTTGTCAAAAATCTATTTCTGGTAATATTTTTCCTCAAAAATGTATAGCTGGTAATAATATTTTTTCAAAAACGTATAGCTGGTAATATAATGGTTTCAAAAACGTATAGCTGGTAATATTATTTTTTCAAAAAAACGTATTATCAGAGACCTTGCTATTGGACGTAGTTTATTGTCTTACCCAGGACGTAGATGTAGTTTATCGTCATACCCAGGACGTGGATGTAGTCTGAGTATTATCTATTTGCCCATAGCTTGGACCCTAACAGGTGCTACCACCCCGGGTCAGGGTAAACCTGGGAACACCAGCAATTAAGAGGTTTGTTCCACGCTCCTCAAAACCTCCTGATCAGAGGCCTTACTGTTGGACGTAGTTTATCGTCTTACCCTGGACGCGGATGTAGTTTATCGTCTTACCCTGGACGCGGATGTAGTTTATCGTCTTACCCTGGACACGGATGTAGTTTTTCGTCTTACCCAGGAGGCGTCTAGCAATTTAAAAATTTGAATGTATTGTTAGGGAATATCGCTTTCATTCACCTTTAGAGAATTTAGATACATAACCTCAGTGCAGGACCGGCGAACATCCCGATCGGAGGGACCCAAGCCTGACTGGAGAGTCCGGGCAGTGCTTTGTGACCCATGCTATCTTATTAGCATTTGCTTTTCTTCTACCTATATTTATATACGTTACAAATTAAGCCAAACACAAGTATTAAAGAACGAAACATTTTGGCGGACTTTGATGTCATTCTGAGGTCTGCATTTTTTTTTCGTTCAAATCCGTGAATTTATTTTCTCATGCTAAGTTCTTGAAAAAGCACTATATAAAATTCACTATTTCTTATCCATAATGTTGAATGTGTTAAAATTATTCAACTTTTTAACAAGATCTCAAGTTGATGTTAAATATTTCCGCAAAACATTGTTGATTTATTTAAGATGGAATGATCCATTATTACGTGTCTCTAACTTGTATATAAATATATTGTATTTATTTTCATTTTTTCTAACTGAATTGTTCACCTGTATTTCATATGATCCATTATTGTACATAATTAAGTTACAATAAAAATTTGTTTCATATGAGTACGACTTGATGAAAATTGAGTTGTAGTTGAATGGGCGTCACCTTATAGTAGATTCTTTTGCGTGGGGAACGAGACCCTTGCAGCGGCACAGTCTCTTCTATTCCTTCCCTTTTTCATATTGTCTGTAAAGTTCTGTTTCGGGATCACCATCATCTGCTTTGTATCCCGTTAATCTTGCACATAGCGTTTCAACGGAGATATAACTTTGTTAAAAGCCAGAAGTCACGAGGAGCCAAATGTAAATTGTAGGGAAGGTGATGCAATATTTTTTGTACGATATTGCACGAGAACGCAGAATAGGCAGAGGAGATATTCAAAATGGTTGAATACACTTTAGACAATCTGGGAAATTCGCAGGTCTTTGAACTCTCGCAGTGTTAGTTGCACGTGTGCAACATTTGCAAGTGTTCTTCTTGCTGAATCTCTTTCAGAATCTGGATAACTTTCAAGGAATTCTCAACCAAATTTAAAATTTTCAACAAAATTATCGATACCAAATTTTTATCTGCGATTCGCTCACTGAATCAGCCAAGAATGTCTTCTGAATTATTCGATATGCTTCCGTGGATGAATGTCCAAGATTGAAAACAAAATTTGTTGCGTATCTATGTAAATGCGATGGTCACCCAATCCATAAATACGCTCAATGGTGTCTGGCTGACGACTGAGTAAGAATATGGCAGATTTATTGTTGACGCATGCGTAATAAGGATCCTTATTGGCTACTAGATTAAGGCCGCGCAAATGATTCTCAATATATGTTTATACTTTTTTGGCAATACCTGAAGACGTGGAAGACACTACACTATTCTGGAAGATATTCTGACTAACTTCCGCATCTTTCTTTTCCTTTGCATCTACCCTGTAACCACTTTCCTCGTCTTTCTTTACCTCACTCTTCCTAATCTCAGCCTCTCTTACTTTCTTTATTTTGCTCTGTATGCTTTTCTTTCTTTTTCTCTCCCCTGCTTCTGCCTTCTCCATCTTTCACGTTCTCTCTCTCTCTCTCTCTCTCTCTCTCTCTCTCTCTCTCTCTCTCTCTCTCTCTCTCTCTATTTCTCGGCCTATGCGTTTCTCTTTTGTTCTCTCTCGCTTTCTTTATCTTGCTCTGTATTTTTCTTTCTTTTTCTCTCCACTGTTTCTCAATTACCTTCTCCATCTTTCTCATTCTCTCTTTCTCATACTGTCTCTCTCTCTCTCTTTTTTCTCTCTCTTTTCTCTCTCTCTCTCACTTTTCTGTCTCTTTCTATTTCTCGTCATATTTGTTTTTCTCTTTACATCTTTTTTTTCACGTTATCCCCTGTTTTACTGCCTCCTCTCTTCGATTTCCATGCATGCGAGTCCAGGTATGCTTCAGTCATTTCCCTCAGAATTCTCCCTTACCCGGCCATTTCACGCACTGTCGCACTGTCGTTCCCAACAATATCAACGCCATCCAGCCCCAAACCGCCCTCACCGTCTTGGACCATCAAACATCTCCACAGAAAGATAAAGGCGTACCTGATGCAACAATGAAATAAGTGACACCCCGAGGAAAGGCGACGTTTAGAATCTAAAAGTCAATTAAACTCTTCCTGGTTAAAGAAGAAATATTATAAAGAAAACTAAGACAGACGAAAATTCATAAGTTTATCTTAAATAGATTTTTTTTAATTTAAAATATGAAAAATATAATGGAAAAAAAATCTGTTCCAAGGTTGTAAAAAACTCTAGACATTCTGGTGCATATCTCTTCATTTGAAGTGAAATAATGAACAAATACCAGGTATATATATATATATATATATATATGTATATATATAACATTGAAGTCAACACACAGAGGGGCGACGTGCTGTTTCATTCTGGACGCAATCGTCCGGCCTGAAGATTGCGTCCAGCATGAAACAGCCTGTCGGCTTTGAGTGTTGACTTCAATGTTCACTTTTATATTTATATTTACATACGCTCTATCTCTGATATTGAGCACTTTATCCCATAAATATAGCACACCTTAAATCTATATATATATATATATATATATATATATATATACATACATATATATATATATATATATATATATGTGTGTGTGTGTGTGTTTTATACACATACACATATTTATATATTAAATATGTCGATATTTGTTATACTTTTTATACTTATTTCATTAAATCTCTCTTTGTATTAATGCATGCACACACATGCCTACATATATATATATATATATATATATATATATATATATATATATATAAATATAAAGAAAAAAATACAAAAAAAACAAACAAAAATCTTAATATGCAATTATGCTGTATTAATGTTAATATAAAGTCAACGTCGGACGTTTCGGTCTATTTTAGACCATCATCAGGACTTATTTATAAAACATAATTAACATTAGAACATATAAAATTCAACATGAAAAAGACGATGGACATAAGAGCACAACTAATCCAAACAGATAACTGAAATTTTTATATAAGATCAGCGTTCCGTTTAAAATATGATCACGTCGTCGTCACGTGGGCGATGTTGTGAAAACGTATTCGAAGATGATTTCAAAATATTAAAATATTAAACAAATTCGATTGAACTATTTTCTCATATAAACAGTTCATCAAGAAATCCCTTCCGTTGATATAGGAATACGCAGAGATCAATAGGTTCTTATATTTTCATACAAGCTTGAAGTCTTCCATGTTACAAAGTAAATCAAAAATGATTTCAAAATATTAGACAGGCTTACATACTGTCTACTGGAAATACAAACCTGAATTTACTTTACATGGAAGACTTCAAGCTTGTACGAAAATATAAGGATCTATTGATCTCAGCCTATTCCTGTAAGTAAGGAAAGGATTTATCAATGAACTGCTTTAAAATTGTTCCATTGTGCCTGTCTAGTATTTATGTATGTAAAAAGTCAGATATAATAAAATATATTAAAAATATATCTGTAAAAAGATAATATAAATACAGACAAAAGGAAAACTGATCATCGTCGGCACGTTTCGTCCTCTGATGGACTTTATGAAGACAAGAAAATATAATAATTTTGAAAATTTTAATGAAAACGGTTAAATTCACACCTTCTATTAGTTAAAATATATAATACATAAATTAATCTAAACTAAAATAATATAAATAATAATTACATTATAAAAAACAAAAAATCAATATTTACTCACTTTTGTTTATTAGACATTAAATTACATCACTTAGTATCTTCCATAGTTTACATAATCTACATCACTTAGCATCACCCATAATTTACCTTGACTTTCAGTTCGCCTGATGAATATTTATGTACATTCTTAAATTAAAAGATTCGGAAAAACTAAAATTTTGCCTATTGTGTATAACGGAATCACTACTTTCCCAAGTCAACATACAAAACAGATGAAGAAATCAAACGAAAACGGCTGAATCCGTTAACACAACAGTCCAAACAATATTACTAGATACGAAAATAAACTGCAAATGACATAATTTCTCAGATGACTCAATGAATTCTAAATTCTTCTAATAACAACCAATATTTTGTTTTTGTTTATGGATACTTTATGCAAATAAATTCATTTCCATTTTTTTGCCTTGAAAATGTCCGCAGTTGACGAAACGCGTCGGCTAAAATTACATATAGTTTTCCTATTGTTTCGTTCCACAGATCATCAGTGTGACTAGACATCCGATTGTCTCAAGCCGGGATAGAAACTCGATCGATTTGACATCAGTCAGAGATTCTACCCCTAAGCTGCCAGGGCAGAAAAAAAAAAGAAAATTTTAACGTATTATATACGTGATGAATACAAAGGCCAGTAGCCGATAGCGTTCAATTCATGACTAATATATATATATATATATATATATATATATATATATATATATATATATATATATATATATATAGTTTTAAGGTATGCTATATTTATGGGTTAAAGCGCTCAATATCAGGGATAGAGCATATGTAAACATAAAAGTGGACATTGCAGTCAACACCCAGAGGCGACGGTTTGTTTCATGCCAAACGCATTCGTCAGGCCATATGGCTTGAGTTTTTGCGCGATTTTTTATGGGTTATTTCTTTAGGCGTGGTTTGTTAATTTTTCTATTATTTACTTACTTTATTTACTTATTTATTTGTTTGGATTCATTTATTTTACTTGTTTTAGTTTATTTATTTTATTTATTATTTTCATTTATTCTTTATGATTTTTCGATTTTTAAGTAACGTAGTAAAAAATTGGTTTCCTGTCTGCATTTTAAGATGAGTTCTGATTGTTTATATAGTAGCTTATTTTCGTCTGAGAAGGTAATTATGGTTATTTTTACTTCCGGGCAGAATTTACAGTTTTTGGATTGATTGTTATTGACTGATATTCTTTTCCTTATTTTCTATATTTTTGGTGTGATTTGTTTTGTTTTTTTAGTCTCCCAGATATGTTTAGAAAGCATTGTGCTGTTCACGTAATTACTATTTGTAAAAGATGCATTGTATGCGTAGTTTCTTTGTTTTCAGTGTCTTTCAGTTACCCCCGTGTATATTTTTCTTCGTTATTTGCTGATTTTACAGTGCTTGGTATATTACATTGTTTTGCAAGCAATTGCCGTTTAAGGGACATTCGTTCTTTATTATGCAGTCACACGCAGATTTAATTTGTTCAGGTGGTTTGTTGATTGTGCATTTTATTATTTGTGTTATGTTCTCGGTGCAAATGGAACTGATTTTTATTGTGTTTTTGTCAAATATCTTGTGGAGAGTTCTTGATGAGGAGAAGTATTTGTGGATGAGTTTAAGAAATATTTTTCTTTTTCTGGTGTTATTTTTGTTCTGTGTAAGATAGTGGATTCTTGGCAACACTTACATACACACCACAGAAAGAAAACTAGTCAGGTATTGAACTCACACTCTTTGGGTCCTGTCACTGGATCTGACTAACGCCTTTATCCACTGTGCCATGTTTCCGGCAATGATAACTGTAAAAAATTGCAATATGAGCACTGGTAAAAAATGATTACTGAAGGCATTAGGTTTACAATTCCCAGAAATTCAAACCCAGATGTCCTCAAGTACACATGGCACAGTGGATACAGGCGTTAGTTATATCCAGTGACAGGACCCAAAGAGTGTGAGTTCAATACCTGGTTAACTTGGCGAAGGGCATTAGCAGGAGATAACTGATAGCTGACATCCATCAGACATGGCACGTGTAACAAGAATAGTCTACCCCAGCGAGCGAAATAAAAGGTTCAGTTCGACATTCCAGCCACATGAAGAAGGCCGGAGCGTACAATGGCCGAAACGTTGTGATAAATATGGCAACAAACATGAGAATGATAGTCTGAACAATGTAAATAGTGTACATAATACCTTATCTCAGAAATATAGACAGATACTGAAGAAATGAGATATTCATGATCAGAATGATATAAGAAAGAGATCAATAGAAATGAAGAAGAATATGCACTTTTTTTTTTTTTTTTTTTAAATAGATTACGCAAAAGCATTTGACAAGGTACGAAACAAGGATCGATTTACTTGGAAAGGATGTTAGAATAATTCAAATCTTATTCTGGGAGCAAACCGCGTACATACGGATAGAAAATGAATTAGGTAGCTACACAAAAATAAAGACGGGCGTAAGACAATAATGTGTCTTATTCCCAGATTTATTCAACCTCTACAGTGAGGCTATCCTCAGGGAACTGGAAACCCTACAAGGATTTATTATCGATAGTCGTAATCTTAACAAGATACGCAGATGACACTACAAGACCTCCTAGACAGAGTGGTAGATGAAAGCAAGAAGAAAAGGCTAAACCATCAGATGCAAGAAGACAGAAAGTATGGCCAACATCAAGAGAAAACCCCAAGATACTAGTTACGAATTTCAGGTGAAAAATGCGACACCGAGATCCGAGTATTTCTTGGATTAGCGAAGAAAGCATTCCATAAGCTAAGGAAAGTGCTGAAGAACGGAAAAATTCCGCTAGAAAAAAAACAAAACAAAACAAAAAAAAAACAAACAACAAGATTACGGCTATATGGTATCCATCTTTTTTATGTAGCAGTGAATGCTAGAAAATATCCCCATGGATGAGGAGAGAACTGCAGGCTGCAGAAATATGGTTCCACAGAGGATCCTGAAAATTCTATGGACGGAGCGAATAAGCAACAAGAAAATCTAAAATAAAAATGGCAACAGAAAGAACACTTATATACAGAGCCAGAAATAGAAATTCCATAGACACATGATGAGGGAAGACGGCTTGGAAAACTTGCGGGCAGCAAGTGTGTGTATAAGTCCGTATGTATATGGATAGTAATTGCTCTTTTATATTTTTTATCCAGTTTTATTTTTTTTTGCATTTTTTGCATTTTTTGCTGGACATAAAGTGTTCAAATGTTCTACAAATCCGAGAGCTTTTTTTTTTTTTAATTTTTAACTGAGTATATAGATTATTATATATGTCTATCCATAGTGATGAGAATATTTTTCCAAACACGGT